GGCCTTGCCCCTCTGTTCCACTCCCCGAGCCATCTCAATTAGAAACAGAAACCAACTTAAAATTTTCTGATTTCTCCTTGTCTTCCTCTCCCCCCCCCCTCCCCTCCATCTTTACTCTTGCTCACACACTCTCTCCCTCTCATTCTCCATCTATGCTTTCTCTGCTTCCATCTCTTTTTCCACCAATTTCTTCTCTGGTTACCCCTCCCCACCCCACCCTCTCTCTCTCTCTCTCTCTCTCTCTCTCTCTCTCTCTCTCTCTCTCTCTCTCTCTGATACTGTCTTTCTCGCCCACTCTTGTCCTCGCATAACTCCCCATTATTCTTTTTTTTCCTGTCCCTGGCCACCCATCTCTCCCGCTAATCAACCTCTTATCTCAAACCAGATTCCACATAACCAGCCCTGATAATTGTGGCGGTTTGAAAGTTGCGGTGATTTTATCTGTTCTCTTTACGGACGCTCAATTAGGGATATTGTCACCACTGACCGTCCGGTTCCTCTTTTTTCATCTTGCCCGAAGCCCTCCTCCTCCCTCTCTCTCTCTGTCTCTCTCTCCCCTCTCTCTCTCTCTCTCTCTCTCTCTAGCTCTCTATCTATCTATCTATCTATCTATCTATCTATCTATCTATCTATCTATCTATCTATCTGTCTATCTATCTCTTTCTCTCTCACTCTCACTCTCCTCTGCCGGTCTCTCCGTTTTTCTTTTGTCGGTGCGTGCATGTGTATGAATTAGGCCTAACACCCGCATGCGCGCGCGCACACACACACACACACACACACACATACACACACACATACACACACACACACGCACACACACACACATACACACACGCAGGGCTTGAAATAGACCGCGGCACCGCGGCAATTTGCCTTGGTGCCTTTGCAATTTGCCGTAATGCCCTTAAAATCAAAGGGTCAGCCGCGGCAGTTTTTGCTGTGCCCTTTATTTTTAATGTGCCACAATGAAAATAAATCACTATTTGTCCTGTGCTGTCACTTCTGTAAAAGAAAAGAATGTTGTACAAGCGTCTTGTCGGGTTCGCCACCGAGGCAGGTCAGTGAACCTGAGCATTGGTATCACAACTTAATCACAAGACACGGCATCGTGTGAGCACTGGTTGTTGGGGTCACCAAAGTTCATTCAAAGTGTGAACACCACGAAGTACCGGACTCCGGAATGGGGGGAATTATTGATTTAAAAAATTTTTAAGATACACGCGTGGGAGGGCGGGGGGTATGGAGAAATCCTGTCCGACATGTCTGAAATCTCATCGAAGCTTCAGTCTGACACTGCTCAGCTTGATAATTGTGTCCATTTTGTCATGGCTAGTGCAAACACACTCACAGCAATGATAACCAAACCTCAGCAGCGGTGTCTGAAAAAATATCTGGGTGAAAAAGAAGGCTGCAGATGTGAGAGATGTGGCAAGAGATGAGTCTCACAACTAGACGTCCTGATAAAACAGCACTTTTCTCTGAAATCATCTTCTCTGGTGATACTTTTTAAAATCACTTGTTTTCCCCATAAGGGACAAACGGTAAGCCAGTCTTTTTCTATATATTGTGTGTGCCAACATATTTTCAATATTCTGATCTAGTCATAAGTCATAATATGACATGCTGATTGTTTTAGGTCTTTTTAAACAACATACATGTACTTTAAAACATGTATTTTCAAACTTGTTTTCACGTATCATCATAGTCAGAACCTCACACTGTTTAACCGCTTGACAGAAATTTTTAGTCATTCATTCTTGTTTTTTTCGTTCAAGTTCATAAGTTGTTTTCACTCCTCTTTTTTTCTTTTTCATACAAGTTCAAAATTTGTTTTCATTTCCCATGATTTGTTTTTATTTTATCACTACACTGCCTCACTGCCTATAAACCACTCTGTTTGAATCTCAAATGATTAATGTCTTAATTGGTCATATTATTTACTGTTTTCTATCGTGCCCTATTGTAAACCATCATACTCATTCATCTTAATCTAATCAATAAGAGCTAGATAACCTGGTCATAAAGGCATCTAAAAGTCAGATTCAATCGTGATCATTATTTGATTTTTAACTGATTTTTTAAAATTTTGTTTTGGTGTGGTTTTACTGTGATTTACTTAGTTTCCATTCATGATTTTTTTTAAAATTCCGATAACTCTATACGTTTGTAGAGAGCAAGAATAAATATTATAGTTATTTGTATAAACATTGTGATGCACGATCCAGTATTACCAACTTTAATCAACAAAATTATCACCTTTAATTTTTGCCTAGGTGCCCTAGCAAATAACCTCGGTGCCCTCTGATTTTTAGGCCCCACCGAGGCAATTTTTGCCTGCCCTCCTGAACACCTAATTCAAGCCCTGCACACGCACCCACAAGCACCCACACACTTTGACACAAACACACATACAAACATCCATAGACACACAGACACACTGACACACATACACCACACACACTTAAATATAAACACCCACCTACAAATATACGGTGGCTAATTGAGTACATGTATTGAGTTCAGACTCAAAAAGTAAAGTCAAGCAAAGTAAGTGTCGGTGACATGAGGTTCAGAAGGATGGTCACTGGGGTGTGTCCTTGAGCAAGACACGACAAGCTTAGCTAAATAAAACCAGGGCGCTCTACCATGGCGACCAGAAATGGCATGTTTGTGAAATTGTTCTGTATTGATGTCATACTGTTAATTTGTGTACGTATTTACGTATGTACGTATTTGTAATTATATATTTATGTTGGCATGATTATCAGTTTGACGTTGTGATTCAAATGCCCCCACGGGGATCAATAAAATATTATTTTTTTCATTTATTTATTTATTTATTTATTTATTTATTTATTTATTTATTTATTTATTTATTTATTTATTTATTTATTTATTTTACACATACACACTCTGTCTCTTGCAATCGAACTATTCGCGCCTCTGTATTAATTCATAATCTGTTTTTACTGGACAGGGTAAACTTGGCTACTGAAGTTAAAAACCTATTAAATAATTTCTCTAGGCTTTGAAAATGCCTGATTTTCTCAAAGTTCTTGAAGTACTAGATAATTTCTCAGTGAAGTAGAAAGTAGGCTTGCTAATCTTTCTGTGCAGAACAAAGAGGAAAACGTCTGTAGCAAGTATAATTTATTCACTCTTGCAATTCCGTTTCAAGAAATAGCTGAGTATATCGCCAACCTCCCTAAATATTGGAACAGAAGAGTCATAGCCTTGTTAAAAACTCATAGCTTTCCATTACATAACAATCTGTATCAGTGGAAAGAAATAAATTCAGTCTTATGTGAGAGGTGTGACTCTCATGAAATTGAAGAGGAATTCCACTTTATTTTCTATTGTCCATACTTTGTTCATCAAAGGAAATTGTAAATTCTCCCAGCCTTACTCGACAAAGTGACAGAAATATTCAAGGATAAGTGATATGTGCACAACCTGTACTTTTTCATTACTGAAACTTTATTTAACAAATAAAAATTGAGTGTTTTTTATGATATCATGTGGGCCAGTGGCCTTAAACACTGAAAAAAATTACTTTCTACTTAATAATAATGTCTTTCTCCTTGTCTTACCAAAGGTTTCCTTTCTTTTTTTTTGTTTCTTTCCTCCCCTCTCTATGCGTGCTCCAGGGTGTTGCGGGGTCTTTTCTACTTGACCGGATTCACGGTTAACTGATGGGAACCACGGTAACCTTGACAGAAGGAAAGATAACCACATATAATAAAAATTGTAAAGATGTATTATACAAAAAGACAGAGTGGTATATTTGAGGCATCATGGTGATCCCATCTCCTTCAATCGCAAATATCTTGATTTCTAGTAAAAAAACAAATGGGTTTTTTTTTCTCATCAAAAGATAGACAAATAAACAAGCTATACGATAGTACTAATAACTCCACATTCCCAAAAGTTGACGAGCGCCTGATAGAAAACAAATTTTAATAGCAAGAAAAGGGTGAAGGACAGTACAGGGTCAGGATACTGGATTGGTGAGCGCATAGGCAAAGTGCGTATGTAGTTTCAGAATTTTTTGACACCACATAACAGTAAATCGGGCTAAGACTAAGACAGAAATAGTGGGGTGAGGGGATAGTGAAAGGAGATATGCTTTGCTCGGGGGAGTGGACGGAGGAAGGAAGGGGATTTTAGGAGATCGATTTAAGCGGGAAACGAGGTGAGGGTGGAAAAGGGGAACCCTTCTGAAAGTTAAGGAAGATAGCGAAGGTCCTGGTAGGCGAAGAAACGTGAGACAAATGTGAGAGCATTTCGGTTTTGAGGGTTGAGAAGGGGGAGGGGGGATTTAAAATGTGACTGGATAAAGAAAAACAAATGGCGTGTAATTACTTTTGTGTTTGTTTGTTTGTTTATTATTTGTTTTGGGCTTTTTTTCGTACTTTCTTTTTTGTTTTGCTTGGTTTTCTTGTTTTAGTTGTTGCTATTTTTAATATATTTAGGGTGGGGGGTGCGATTTTATTTCATTTTAATTTGGAGGTGAGGGGGGTCCATGTAGGGAGGGGGAATGTAACAGAGATAGAAAATGGTTTGGGCTGATGTGGCGAATCCACCAGTTGGAAGTAATTGATTTACTGAGCGGTCAAGGGTGTTTGACGGACAGAGGGGGTGGCGTGGTCACTCATGGGAAGAATGATCTCGAATTGATTGCTTTCCAGTCTTCCAAAATCTCATTCAGCAGATCGATAGCGAAAACGACGACAACGTTGATGATGATGATGATGATGATGATGATAATGATGATGATGATGATGATGATGATGATGATGAGGAGGAG